TATAGTAATTATCAGGTTTTATTCAATTATAATTACCCCTAATAACAAGTATATGGCTATTTTTAAAAAGCCGCTTATCTTTTTAATTACAGTACCCCAAAATTTTAAATAAAACCACATAGCTATTAAATTTTAAAAGTTATCAAATGTAATTACTGAAGCTCAAAGAAAAGAAAATAGAGTTTTAATTATAAAATTCCTTTCTATACTGTAAAAAGCCTTTTATTTCTCTGGTTCAGAGGAACTGCTTACTACCAGTTTGAGTTAATAGCTACACTACTCCAATATGAGATACCCACTGTTGTGTGACATAAAGTGGGGCATAATCTGTAATGGTTATTAAGGATTTCGAATATTATACTTAACTACAGATCCTGTTACTATTACTATATTTTATCCTTCATAATGTTCTACAATGGCTAAAACTAAATCAAAAAAATAAAAAAAAAACAAAAAGAAAAGAATAGACACAAGAGTTAATGTTTTAAAACATTTATATTATTTATTTTCAGAGCAGAAGAATAATTTAAGGATATATATTCTTCAATTTCTTATTCTATACAATGTTACTACATAAACTGTATCTGTGTGTCTCTGTGTTTTGGTTTAATTAGCATTAAAATCATCTCATTTTTAGAAGTCTTAAAGAACTAAAGGTAGCCCTTCAATTTTTTCAGAGTAAGATTTAGGATTTACCAGAGTAAGATTTAGGATTTACAAGAGTAAGATTTGGGATTTACTAGAGTAAGATTTAGGATTAGTTCTTCATAGTAAACACAAAGACAAAGCATTCACCTATATTTAATGGATGTAAAAATGCTTCTTCAGTATTAATTTAGAACATCTATTGTTACAAAGAAAAATTTTATGTATGTACATTCTTTTGTTGGTAATCATATTACGGGGGCTGGGGATTTAGCTCAGCGGCATAAGCGCCTGCCTTGCAAGCAGGCAGTCATGAGTTTGATCCCTGGTACCGATAAAAGACAAAAAAAAAAAAAAAAATGTATTCAAAAATGGTTATCATGTTACTTTGCTGGAATAGATAAAATTAATTTAGTGTATAACACTGACAGATAAAAATGAAAGTTTGTGAGTATTTTTGAATTATTCAACACAGAATTCTTTTTTTTTTTAAGAGAAAAAAAAAAGGTGGCAGAAAACAAAAACAAAAAGCAAAACAGAATACAGTGTGTAAACTTAAGGAACAGTACTTCCTAAATTCCCTAATGCAATTATCTCTTATAAAACTAAGCTTCAACCATAATCTTCAGAAATTAATCAGTTTTACTTTATTCCCAGTATCAGCAAAGTCATGTGCTCTGTATTTTGAGTACCCTTTCTTTCCATTTTCCAAGAGGGTCATTCATTTCTGAGAGCCTAAATTACTGTATTAAACAAAAGGATACAGTACTTCAGTAATTTTTGCAGTATCCAGTAAGTTTTTTTTTTTTTTTTTACTTTTACTTGATGGATCTGAGAAATGTAATATTTAGATCAATTAAGATACTAAAATTCTTTCACTCTATAATTTTGCCCATGATCACAGCCTAAGTTTTTACCAGATCCTTGCATTCTGGCCAGACAAATGACCTCAGCATTACTAAAGCTTTCTGTTCATTAAGAATTCTGTAAGAACTGATGTACAGGAGTCACAAATAAAGAGTTCACATTTCATATTTTCGTACCTTTGAGCCAGCCATTCCGTTTCCCTGAAAAGGTGGCTCTTTTTCAGATGTGTTGCAGAGTTTATAAAAAGGAGGTGACTATTTTTCTCCTCACTCTCAAATTTCTATGACCATAATTAACTCTTCCTCTTAATATTGTTTCACAAAAAAATACACAAAACTACATGAGGACACTTTCTGTTGTGTAGTCTGATTGCTATAAACCAAAAATGTTTTAGGCTAGAATATCTCTTATAAGTCTACTAACAGGGCACATGGCAAAAAGAAATTTTAAATGGAGAGGAGAGAGAAAGGGAGAGGGACACAGACTGATCTATGGAAATATCGATTAATTTCCTATGTTTTACGTAGTGCTTTATAGGTCTTTACAAATAGTTTTAGTCTTTACATTAAGACAATATTTCCAACTAAAATTATTCCTAGAAAACACATTTTTCACAGAAACATCAGATAAACTTTATACTACAAATTCTCTACTATGATTGTATAGTTTTGTCACTCACAAGATATTCATAAATCAACTGAAGTTGTGTCTAAAATAGTTTAAAATGGCCACTTAAATTGCATGGGTCAATGAAAGAGAATTTTAAAATTATATGCTACTTCAAATACATTTAATGAAAAAAAATTAAAGTGTATATAAATAATAGTTTAAATATTATAAACTGATATATGAGCCCCATGGACTTTTAAGTTATTTAATCTTTTATATCTAGATTATTTTAACTTTTGCATTTTAGTAGTTTCTTTTCAAAGTTCTTCTTTCTTAGTGATTATTTCCTTGCTTGTTTTAGTCTGTAAGTAGCATGAAGGAAAACTCCATTAAATAGTTAATTCTCTTCATTACAAAGAATAACTTAAGTACTATTTCTCTCTATTCCCTTTAATTTAGGGTTAGGATTGGGTTATACTGCCTCATCTACATGTGTTATAAAATTAGTCCATGTTCTCCAATTTTCAAATATTCCTACTGTTAACAATTTTCATATATGGTTCTTGTGGATAATCTAAAAGTAATATAGCTCATATTATCAGTAATATTTCAATTTATGTCTTTAATTTACTTTTTAATGTCTGAATTCATATGTTAGTTCCCTCGCCATAAAGTCTTTATTCTTACAGAGCACAATCTTAGAAAAAGTAAAAAATAACTTGCTGTGAAATAACCATCCATAAGTGTTCGAGATTAGGGCATGTCTGTCTAAGGATTTTTGTTATACTACTTCCTAGCTCTGTGACCTTGCAAAAATTATTTAACATATCTGAGTTTAAATTTTACATCTATAAATTAGGATAAGTTACACTTGATATATAGGACTAATGTGAGTAAAATGTTTGAAGCAAAGTCTAGTATGTGATAAATACTAAGTTTTGATCACACTTTCCTTTACTCCGTCATTTATTTTCTAATACAGTCTTTTCTTTTTCTTAGTCCTCTTTTTCCTTCTGGTAATACTAACATGCAGTGCCCAAATTGTATATTTTATACTACCATTAAAATTATCAATGGGAAAAATCTAAATTAGTCAAATATAACACAAAAGTAAAAAGTACTCCCACATGAGTCAGAATTATCTTAGCATGAGAATTTATCATTAACTACTTGGCTATTGTTATTATAAAATACCAAATATCTGTTGGTATTTTATGTTGTTTTTTGTTTTTTTTTAATAACTGGGATTCTCCACCAGAGAAACAGAAGTAAGGCATACCTCAAAGAACCATAAAATGTGAAATGTTTAGGGACTGTGTCTATCAAACAGAAAACTGTAGCATAAGCGACACTTCCTCAAACAATTCTGCCCTATCTCTCCATAACACATTAAAAGTAGTTTAGGAAAAAAATCAAAACCAGACTGACAGCAGCAATTTCACCTGTGGCTGTAAGTCTATGCATCTCCTGGCTACCAGCTTTATCTGAAATAAAGCTTGATCAACATGCGCATAATTAGCAGAGAAGATCAAAACCTTTTTCCCCCATTAATGATTTTTATCTATGATACTATGAAGCCAGTGGTAAAATTTTATCTATTTTTAGTAAACAAAATATAAGAGTTCTGAACTATCTACTCATTGGTTAAGGACTTAGAAACTGTTTTATTTATTGAGAATATATATATAAAAATATATATTTTTTCAAGTTATATAGATATTGAAAGAGTATACCACATGAAAGATTCATTAACTTCTTAAGGACAAACACTACGTAGTTAATAAAAAGATGTTGGTGGTTACTAATTTTCATAGAAAAAGGAAAAAAAATCACATCTTATTTTAAAAGGTTATTTCTCAGAGGTAGTTTAATGAGCTATCTACTAGAAAAAAGAAAATAATAAAATAATAAAATCACAGAAAAAAATAAATCTAAAGCAAATAAGGTTTTAAAGAGAGGAAGATTCAACTCTTCATAGGATTTTTAAAAATGCATATTTAATGAATAGCATTTGATGAAAATATTAAATTCAAACATCATTTTAGTAAGATTATAAAAAATTAAAATCATATCTAATTTCCAGATTTAAATTTGGAGATATACTACAAGAAACAAGGTAATAATATCAACAAAGAATATGATAAGAAAATACAATTTCCAAGAAAAAAAGTTAAAAGAGATGTAGCAGAAAACATCTGTTTTTATCGCTGAATATTTTGTTTAAATAGAAAAAAACAAACTAAGTAAAAATCTTCAAAAATAGCTCTTTCATTTTAGATTGATACAAAAAGAAGTAGTATAAAAAACTGCAGAAAAGATAAAACATAAAAATTCAACTACTATCATAGGTAAAATGTTACTTTCTGGAAAACAGTTATTACAAAAATTATACATTTTTGTAAGCTTTCAAAAGCAACTACTCCCAGTTAACAAAAACCTAAACACAAAGTATCTTTCTGCCAAATTAAAATACTATTTTAGTAGAGTCCTAGTGTATTAAAATCCAAATTGTTAATATTTTTACAATTTGCTTATAAAACTCTTAGTTTTATTTCTCCAAATTCATATAAGATTACCATATGAAAACATTTATTAAAAAATGTCCTGATATTACATATAGAAATTTATTTCTGAGGAAAATTTGTATAAGCAGAATTCTAACATTACTATGTGTAAAACACAACAGTTACTATAATATAGAGGAAAACAATGTTTACATATAAGTCCCGTCAACTTGTCATTTATAGTTTAATCTCTTTCACATGACTTTAAACTTTATACCAAAAGGGATATAAAAGAGTACCAAAAATCTGTTTTTTCATTTATCCCAAGTCCATAAAACCTAATGAGGATGAGAATTTTAACATATTTAAACTCACCCCATTTAATGGATACGTCTTCCATCCTAGTTCGCCCAGCACAGTAGTTGTATCCAGCAACACAACTGGAAGTGAACAGATAAAGCTTGCATGAATTTCTCAACTAAAAAATACATTAACATTATTTAAATAATTAATATTATAATATTGGTTATTTAAATCATTAATATATTATTCACATTTAATAAGTTACAGTATCCAAAATTTTTCCATATGTATGAAATATGTGTGCATAATGACAACATTAAGTCATGATAAAATGCATGGTGATAATTTCAAGTGCATTTATGTTTAACAATGCTGAGTAAAACAGCTAAATGATACAATTTAAAGAATCATTTTTATTAACAGATTCTTAAAACTAATATTAATTTTAAACTAAGGAAATATACAACTTTGCTTATTTTCCTATTTTAATAGTCTTTTCAGTCAACATTAACAAAAAACACATTTAAAGGGTTTCTTTTTAATATTATTAAATGTGCATTAATAAACAGCAAAGTATGAAAACGCTTATGAAAAGAACACTATGCTCAATAACAGATGCCATTACTGCAAATAATAGGTAGTACACTATTTGCTAAAAGATGGAAAAGCAAAATTAAAGCTATTCCCCTTTCTTTCAATAACCTAGAGTAACCATCATTTGGTCAAAAAAACAACTAAACAAATAACAAGAATAAACTATATTAAATGATAGAATGGACAATTATAAAATACACTTGTGATTAAGCCAAGGTTGAAATGAAATCCGGAAGAATTCACAAAGAAGATTAAACCTGAGTTAGGCCAGAACAAGATGGTCTTCAATTAGATGTGATGACTGACAGACAGACGATTTTAAAAAATTCCTCTGGAGTCTGAAATAGGAGTGGGGATTATACCGGTAAAGTAGGAGGACAGAAACAAAGCTGGAAAGACAGAGATGAGCTAAGAGTATTTTTGCTATGATTACTTTAGAAAAATATGTAACTATCAAAATTTAGCAGTTCTATACTTTTTCCAGCGCTGGATCACAGGCACAAGGTAGGGCAGGCAATGGGCTACACACTGAGGAGACAATGCTGATGTAGCTCATCATTGGGTTCAATTCACCTTGCCAATGAGGAAGGATTCTTTAAGTGCACTTTTTAAAAATGTCATTGTTAGTTCATTATTTACCACCTGCTCTTTTGTCTACAAGAATTTTGTAGTTCTACTTAATTGAGCCACTACAATGTATTTCACTGACGTTATAAAAGATGCACCTAGTATTAAATTTCTGTAGTAAACACTATATACTCATTACTGAATATTCAAACTGGTAAAACTCAGCTATATTTTTTCAATTAATTTTTATGTAGAAAATTCTCAAGTGTTTTAAGAGAAAAGTTTTTAAAATCATCACTATCATTTTATTAAATACCAATTTATGTTCTATTTGTTTCATCCGTATCTACTCTCCCAATGCAAGATTTTTTGAAGCAAATTTCAGTAGTCAAATTATTTACTCTGTAAAACTGTCACTATGTGTGTATTTCTAAAACAAAGATTTCTGCTAGAATTATATTTTAGTACATTAACACAGATGGCAATTACTTAATGTCATCAAATACCTTTAAGTTTTTTTTATTGTTTCCCCAGAAACCAAAATCAAAATGCTACTCTACATTACGATGAGATTGCTTTTAAAAATTTCTTATTATAATTTTCAGGTAGACTAAAGTGTCTTCAGTATGTTAAAGGTGTATTTCTAGGTACTGTCACAAAATCTCCACATCTTTGTAAGCTATGGCTATGATCAAGCTATAACATATTCTCGATCTCCCTTAAATGTTCCTTGTGGCCCTCTACAGTGATCCATTTTCCTTCCCATCATCAGGCAACTACTAATCTAATTTCTGCCCAGGGAACTGACTTTTCCAAAATATCAAATGCAGAAACAGTTTACCATGTATTCTTTTGAGTTTGGTTTCTTTCATTTAGTACAATGCAGCTGAGAACCATTTTTACTGCCTTCTAAGCAGTAATAATTACATTTTATTGCTGAAATTATTTCCGTGTATGGAATTTCCTAGCTGATAAACATGTGAGTCACTTAATATGTGTGTTTAAGTTAAAAAAAAAAAAACTTTACAGTAGATGACGCACTGCCTTTATTCACCCTCAAAAATATTTTCTCTTATTCTTTCCAGTTTCAAAAGTCCTCTCTTGTGAATGTCATAGTTGTGCTATCATGGTTGTCTGGATGTCCTGAGTCAATTTAAAATCGTTATCTTCCATGGCCATTTTGTCTTTGATGGTGAGTCAGATTTTGCACTGTACCAGGTCTGATAAATAAAGTGGTTACGAACACAAGGTAATGTTTTCATAATGCCACCCCATGATGGCACCTGGCAGCAGCATTTACTATATCTTCAGTCACTCGTCCAAAGACACTCATGAAACAGGACTTTTTGGACTATTTCAGAAAATGGCAAGAATGATAGAATACGTCTGTTCAAAATGAGCGAGAGGAAAAACGTGTAAATATTGTTGTAAAAAAGAGAGGGAAAAAAGTGCTCTAAAGGATACAACCGCAAGTGTGTTTAGGTGTATTAGGATAGATGACCATATTACTAAATTTTTGTTGAATCATTGAACACAACTGTTTACAGTCTCACTGTTTGAATGTCCACCTTGTATGCTTTAATCCTGTAACTTGAACAACTATCTAAGATGACAATATGTAATCTATTAACTAGTGATTTCTTACCGTTTCTTTTTTTTAAATTCTGTATTACTTGTACACTTACACTGTTCTGGTTTTTTTCTCCTTTAAATAAAATTTTTAAAAAATGGGGGAGAGGATATTTTAAGGGACATCAATGGTAATGGGTCTTTTACTGTAATTTCTTTAAATTTAAATATTCACATATTTTTTTCAAGTACCACTTGCACATAAAGCCATAGTAAACTTTCACTTGTAGGTTTTTATATGAACTTAAAGCTTTTAGTACTCCAGGGGAAATAATCAGGAGTATGATTCCTGAATTATACTCAAAATACTTATTTCTAGAACTACCTGTCAAAATGAATTCCCAAATGGGTATGAAGTGATATTTTCCCAACAGCAGTTTCTCGACATATGAGGCCAATTGTCTATATTTTAAGCTCCTTCTAACAAATATGCCACACAGTATCTCATTATTTTAATATTAATTTTCCTCAAAGAAAAACAATAAGTCATCATTTTTAAAATTTAAAAAGTTTATTTACTATGAAAGAGAAAAAACTAGACTGTTTTGTGTTACATGAGATATCACTAAAACATGCTTTATCATTTTTTGTATTTCCTTTAAATCAGTAGGTAAGAGGGTGGATCAAATGCTGTTCATCCTACTGTTATTTTTATATTTTGTTAGCCAAATTCATTGGTGGTCTTTTATAGGTCTAATATCAGCAAAACAAAAGCAGATGGGAATGAATTTTCAAAGGGCTACACTAACAAATGAGTTGATCTTAGATAAGGGTAGTGACTGCAAAGCTTAAATTTTAAAATATACTTAAATTCACACACCCAAATGTTAGTAGATATCTCATGGTAGCTTTTGCAGAATGTTAAAAAAACATTACTTTTAAAACTGGTAAAGAAAGTGAGAAGAACAAAACATGCATTTTGCTTTTTCTGTACGAACTATCTCTGCTTAACAAAATAGTTAATGAAGGACATTTCTCTTATAGAAATATTCTAGTTAATAAATGAAGAAGAATGAATGAATGTAGTACACCATTTGCTACTCCTAATGAATTAATATATTTTGCTAATGGTTTTCCAAGGCTGCTAAAATCACAAAAAGAAATAGAAGGAGAAATCAAAGGCTATAGTTAGTTTTTAAAAAGCTTCTCTTTATAGTTCAATTTATTCCATCTGAACATAAAATTAAAAACCTTAGATGTAACAAAAATAATAAAGCTCAGGAAAGGTCAGATATAAACAACACACACACACACACACACACACACACACACACACACAATCTGGGTTCAGTCAGTGCAAGAGAAATAATTCCACAAATTATAGAGAAAAACCTGAGTACATCACTATAACAACTATGAAAAATAAGCTCTATTTTGTTATTAAATAAAAATACTTTTTAAGCGGTGGGATAAATTATTTTACATAATTCAGAAGTCTGTAATATCAGTATGTACTTTAGGTTACTCAAAAATGTAACTTTAATTATGAGTGCATTTTTACTTCTGAAATACTCCCCCAGTTCCCTAACCAGCAGTAAAAGTGACAATACTGACTCTCAATCATTGTAGTAATGAATGTCTATGTACATTCTTCTTTAATCCCCAAAATGCTCCATTTTTGTTTCCATTTCAAATAAATCATTATGAAATCCGTATATCAAAGATACATATGCTTGCCTGTCCTCATTTTAACACTATCCACAATAGTTAATGGAAACATTTGATAAACTGGATAAAAAGATGTAATAAGCATACACAAATACTCCTCAACCCCAGGAAATAATGAAGTCCCGTGTGGTAACAGGGTAGAATGAAAAACACCAGGTACAGAAAGATGAGTATTTCATAAACTCTCTCATATACAGAATCTCAAAAACCAATCTAGAGAAGTTGAGAGTAAAACAGTGGTTAGCAGAGGCCACAGAAGTATGGGGAGAAGAGAGAGGGCCGATTAAAAAACAGGAACTAAATTACACTCACACATGAGAAAGAAGTCTTGATGTGCTACTGCAGATTAACTACTAAATGTCAACAAGGTACTGTACATTTTAAAAGGCTACAAGAAAGGTTTTCAATGCTTTCACTATAGAATAAAAATTTTAATGAGACAAATTTGTTAATCTGACTTAAAGATTGAATAATGTATTGAAATATTACATGCTAGCAACTGGATAGAAACAACTGTTATGTTTTTCTATATCACTTAAAATACATTTAAAATACTTAAAATGAAAAACATCCATATTTTATCATCCTACTTTATCTGGTTTTTATAAAGAACGATGATTTTTCTCTATTTTAGTAAGACTCTAAATTTCCTTTAATGTGGTTGTTGTCTATATTTTGC